ATTATACCGCTCACCTTCTACAAAGCTGTCTTTTCCAAGTTGATAGTTTTCTGTCCACTTTTTCACATTGATACCTTGGAGTCATGAAGGCCCTTTTGCTTGTAATTGGATAAGGGGTTATGCTGATTCGTTTTAAAATTAAATCAGCCATAATTTCATTGAATGTAAGTCAATTTTGGAATAATGTTTGTCTACTTCTACAGTTCGTGATCTTACAGTTAATGTAAATTAAATTCATCCATCTCACTCTCTGCTTATATTCTCCAGTAGAGTCTAGCTTCCTTACTGGTTATTCAAGCTTTTATCCACTATTCTGGAAAGGTAACAATTTATAAATTTTGTTTGTTCAAGATTATATCTGTGAGCTTTTGTTTTGCTTTAGACTTTGCTTGAAATACCTATAACTCAATTAGAGGTTTGAAATTACCTAAGCTTCTGCAAGTAGAGGTTTAAAATCCACTGTTTCATTGGCTAATGCATACTTGTGCCAATAAACAAGCATCTTTCTGATTGGCCTGTGACAAAGTAGAATCTTATATGTTTATTCCAAGGTGGGGATGTCTTACAGATTTGGTAGCAGGCCACCTAAGAGGCTAATTTGTATTTGCATTTCTCGAAAGGGACATATTGCTTAATTCTTTAAGTGTTTCTTTATGTCTTCTTTTTGTTAATATTATCTGCAAATACTTACATTTCCAGGTAGAGAAAGAAAAGCAGGCAGCTCCTTTCCTGCAGTTGAACTTTATAAGGTTACTAGCTGATCTCAAATTTTCAATTAAGAGGCCTGAAGTTGTGGATGTGATATTGCCTTTCTTCATTGAAAGTTTAGAGGAGGGTGATGCATCAGTACCAGGCTTATTGAGACTCCGAGTATGAAACTCTCTTTTCATCAGAAACTGCACTTGTATCTTTGCTTCATTTACTCAAGTTATGAAACCCTTTACTCTGTGAAGTGAGCTAATTGAATCACTCTCTGAGTCTTTCAACTTGTTTTTGTTGAGCTGCTACAGCTTCTTGATGCTGTTGCTCGCCTGGCGAGTTTAGGTTTTGAGAAGTCCTACCATGAAGCTGTTGTTCTGATGACAAGGAGTTACTTAAGTAAGCTTGCTGCTGTTGGCTCAACTGAAAGTAAGACCACAGCTCTAGAAGCCACAACAGAACGTATTGAGGTGCGCTCATGGTGGTTTTATCATATTATAGAATTTAATAATCCCTGAGAATTTCTTATTGACCGACTGATCACATGTTCAATCCCATTCTAGACACTTCCAACAGGATTTCTTCTGATTGCCAAATCCTTGACTACTCCTAAGTTGCGTACTGACTACCGTCATCGTTTGCTATCCCTGTGCTCAGATGTGGGCTTGGCTACAGAGTCAATAAAGTAGGCCTTCTTAATGTTGCCTGAAAATGTGCTTTACTTGACTGCTTCTGGAGAAACTCAGGGACATTGTATTTTGCAGGTGTGGAGCAGATTTTCTTGGTCCTCTCCTTCCTGCCGTGGCTGAGATATGTTCAGATTCTGATCCTACTGTAGACGTTGAACCTTCACTTTTGAAGTTGTTTAGAAACTTGTGGTTCTATGTCTCTCTCTTTGGGTTAGCTCCTCCATTACAGGACCATCATGGCATGACAAAGTCAGTATCAACTACTCTAAACAGTGTTGGCAGCACTGGAGCGATTGCCCTTCAAGCAGTGAGTGATCCAAACATGTGGAGTGCTGTTTGGTCCTCTGCTGTCCAACGCATTTCTCAAGGAACCCCACCACTTGTAAGTTCGGTTCTAATTTAGAAGTTCAGCCTCTGAGCAATATTTGTGATCATCTTCTCCAAGAATACTTAGTTCTTATGTTGATATTTGATATTTTCTGCGCTGTGTTGCAATCAATCTTGAGACACATCTTGGATTTAATGTTTAAGATGTTGCACGTGTAAGTGCGATCCCAAGTCAAGTGTGCCACTTACTGAATTTTCATCCCAACTTATTAAGCTGTTTTTCTGTTCATTCCCTCTTGCTCATATAGCTCTAACATCTTGTTTTTTCTGCGTCTTCCTCAACTAAGATGAGGTTCATTTTGGGAAAAAACCTACATTATGGCAACATGAACAACAATACCACACCTAAATCCAAAACTAGTTGAGCTTGACTATTTAATCCTTTGTATCCATTTTGTTTTTTTCGGGTAATTTATTCCTATATCGGTGAATATTTATCTGTTTGGGCAACTTAAATGTTTTTTAAAGTGAGAATTCCTTAAATCTCACACTTGTCCTACCAAACCTAGTGCAGGTGTACAACAATAACAATTAAGCATAAATCTCAACCTGTTGGTATGGTAGTATCCCTTGCTTCTAAGGTGTTAGTTCTTAGCTAAGTTAGGTTTGATTCTGGTATATTGTAGATCGTTTGAGAAAATGTATCTCCACATGATTTTAAATTGTCTCTTTTTAGTACATTCAATCATCATAATGTCATGCTTAGGCCTGGCAGATTTGGGGTCTACATAGGACATAGTCAAGCCATTTCAGATGACTTTCTCTCATTTTATCTTCTATTTGTGTTACTTACAACCTCTGTCTTATATGATCATTTCTAATCTTATTTAGTTTTGTATGACCGTATGCCCATCTTAACATCTGCATTTGTTTAATATTAGGATCAGGTAAAGATCTTAACATCTGCATTTCTACCTAATATTCATTTTTGTTTAACGTTACCGTTTCACAACTGTTTTAACTTTTATAGAAGTTACCTTTTGCTTTGTTAGGTATCTTCCTATTGAATACAGTCCTCAATTTGAACCATTCCTATTCTAGTTTTATGTACCACATCTTTACCTATTATGCAATTCTTCTAGAACACTAAGTTTAAACATCTGAATTGTCTGCATATAGGCACCGCAATTCCATCCAATCTCATTTAACCTTTGTTCTTCTTATGGGTCTAAACTCGCTGTTCACATATTACATCTTACTTCTACTTAATCAAGAGAATATTGTTTATCCTACGCATAAATCAAATTACAAAATTGACAGGCCCATCAGTGTGTCATTTATTTTCATCTTGAATCATGTAATATTTCTCGTTTCATGAAATAATGTTATTCATTTAACTGAATATTTTGGAATTCCTGCAGGTTTAGCAAAAGATATACATCTATATAGGTGATACTAGTTGGAAATACCCGTGTAGGTCTTGTATATGCTAGTAAAAATAGAGAGAAATTCTAATACACACACACACACACACTCTCTCTCACACACACACATTAGTCTTAGGATACGCGCATCGCGCGTGTCCTTTATATTAATGAAGAGAATTTTTTTTTAAATTATATAAATATTATAGAGAAATGTAGTCGAGTTATATAATTAAAGTTACATGAAAAAAATACTATATGTTTTTTAAAAATGGAAAACAAATTATTCTATCCGCCTCTTAACGTTATGATAACATTTTCTGATTAACCAGAATAAGTGTTTGATTGATTTGTTATATAAAAAAATAACTGTTTTAACTGATACACACATATCTTTTTAATAAGGTGATTAATATGAATAATAGAGTAATCACTAACCAGAGAAATAATAAAGCTTAAAATTCATCTGAAATTTTTGTCAATTGTCCCATTTTATATCAACTTGGTAAATGGCCGTTTGGTCTAAAAGATCCTATTTTAGAAAACTGAAAATTTTATGAGAAAATATTAAACGGTAGTCTAAATCTTATAAATTTTTACAAACGCTAGACTACAGTGTAATGTTTTATGAGCAAACTTAAAGTTATATGAGCAAACATTTGACTTGAGTTTAACGTTGCCCGGAAGGGATAATTTTTCAAAGTCTATATTTGCATAGCTTTTTCAAATAGGGACAAAATCTAAACAGTGACCTAAAAAGGGATATTTGCGTAAGTCGGCCAAAATTCATTGAGGAGATGGTAACATATGATTAGGTAATTCAGTTAAAATACTGTGATATTGTCTAAACTGCAAAAAGAACAAAATTAAGGTTAATAAATAATTGCTTAAGCTAGTTGAATATAATTCTCACGTTTACCAATACTTTTTGAGAAATAATTACTAATACTGTAAATATATAGAAGTTTAGCATTAGGTAAGTTGTTTTCCTTTTTTAATCAGATGTTCCCGAAGGGACTCGTAAGTTGTTTTCCAATTAGTTAAGACGAAGCTCTGGCGACATGCAGAGCTTGAGCTATATATCACTATTGTTACCATTAGTATTTTTTTACTTTTATTTTTACTTGGTTTAATGTTGGCCCGAGATGAGTTTAAATGGAGAGGAGGGTCAGGAGGATTCATATAGCCGACCCAAACGAGTTTGTCATTGAGGCATAGTTGTTGTTTAACTTAATTTTTTTCTAAGGGTCTGGAATGTGCTGTTTACCAGGTTGTGAGCTCCATGAAGTGGCTTGAAGATGAGTTGGAACTAAGTGCTCTTCTTAAAGGTAGTCGGCGTGGTGGTGGCAATGAGAAAGGTGCCGTTAGCCAAAGAACTGCTCTTTCTGCTGCTTTAAGAGGGTGTATGGAACTTTCAGCAATGAGGGCAATTTCCGGTTTGTAGAGTTTTTCATGTTCAGTTTGAGAAGGAAACCAAGTTATTAATGACTTCAATTGTTTGGGAGATATTCTTTGCTTAGATACAAGTGATGATTGCAATGTTTTTTAGGCCTCATAGATACTTTTTTTGTCCTCTACAGGTGTCAAGTCAACTTATCTACTTGCAGTAGCATGTTTGGAGATAACACGGTTTAGTAGCAATGCTGGGATCCTCAATGTGGGCCCTAGTTCAACAGCTTCTAGAAGTGCCTTCAGCTGTGTCTTTGAATACTTGAAAATTCCTGGCCTCACACCGGCTATCTCTCAGTGCTTGACAGCCATTGTTCACAGTGCTTTTGAAAAAGCAGTAGCATGGCTGGTAATTTTAACTCTGCTGGGCTTGTCTTGCTGTTATGGACATAGTTCGTCACAGTATCGAATCAACAATGTTTATACTATATAACATTAACATATCCTTTTAGTTGCTCCCGCCGTCCCAATTTACGTGACACTCTTTCCTTTTTTGTCAGTCCCAAAACGAATGACTCCTTTCTATATTTAGTAACAACTTAACTTAAACTCCCTATTTTACCCTTAATGAGATGATTTATAGCCACACAAGTATCTTGGCTTGTTTTAGACCACAAGTTTCAAAAGTTTTTCTTTCTGTCTTAAACTCCGTGCCCAGTCAAACACCATCATATAAATTGGGACAGAGGGAGTATTTTTATTAATGAAAAAGCTAAAAGGTGATCATATTTTTTAAACAAATATAAGTTTCTGATCCTCTTCTTTTGCATTCCCTTTCCATTTCTTATCTTTTTTTTCTTTTACATAAAGGTCATATGATCCTTGTAAGTTGCTGCAGGAGGAGACTAGATCAAGAGCAGACTATAAGGAATCTACATTGACCACCCATGTCAGTTTTCTTTTAAAAAGTTTGTCCCAAAGGAATGAGCATATACGAGATATCTCAGTTAACTTGTTGAATCAATTAAGAGATCGTTTTCCTCAGGTGGACTTTTATTGCTGCTTGTACCAAGTGTAAAGTTTGTTACCTTTGCCTTTTGCCATTGCTTGATGCTAAGTTTGAGTAATTTACTGGCTTGCAGATTTTGTGGAACTCTTCTTGTCTAGATTCAGTATTATTTTCAGTGCACAATGATCTGCCTTCATCTGCAATCAATGATTTTGCTTGCATGGCTACTATTCGCTCCTTGTACCAAAGGACTGTTCGCGAATGGATGATTCTTTCACTTTCACAGGCTCCTTGTACTAGTCAGGGGCTTCTTCAGGTTTGTTATTCCGTCAGTTTCGAGCTTCATGACATTGTTGTGTAACTCTTTTTCTTCCGTGTTACTTATGTCAAGTATGTTTATTAGTCTACGATCAGGCGCTTGTGCATATTCTCTTGCTAAGGGATAAATGCACTTTATTAGAGTGCAAAATGAACATTTAGGTCTTTCTCTCCACTATGATGCATGTAGAGGAAATGTATTTTGTTGGAAAAGCGTCACTAGTCCTTAACATTGTAAAAACATTGTCTTCTTTCAACTCGCGTATGTGGAGACTGTATTTTAGCTTATTCGGTACCTAGAGTTTAAAATCTTAGATAGCTTTTCGCCGAAAGATCTGATTTTCCGTGGTTCATACTGATGTTTTACTGGCTTATTCCCTTCTTTGCAATCTATTTCATATTATTTATTGCACATACTATTAGCTAATTTCTTTCCGTGCTTCAGGAAAAGCTTTGTAAAGCAAACGCTTGGCAAAAATCGCAGCCTACAGAAGAAGTTGTTTCTCTCTTATCTGAAATAAAAATTGGTACTGGTAAAAATGACCACTGGACCGGAACAAAAACAGCAAATATTCCTGCTGTTATGGCTGCAGCAGCTGCAGCATCTGGAGCAAAATTAAAATTGAGGGAGGCATTTAATTTCGAGGTGCTCAGTACTTGTATGATCAGTGCAACTGCGAAGTCTAATCATGCTGGTGAAATAGCTGGAATGAGAAGTTTATATGCGAGTTTTGGTAGCCTTGATCTCCCAGCTTCAGGTCCTGGTGATATGGTGGAACATTTGCAGCCAAAAACTGGGTCCTTTTCTGAGGTTTTACTTAAAAAGTTTGTCCGACTGCTCCAGGAATTTATTAATGATGCAGAAAGAGGGAGAGAAGTAGATAAATCATCATTCCATGAAACTTGTTCTCAAGCAACTGCTTTTCTACTCTCTGATCTGGTATAATCAAGTTCTAGTTTCAAGCAGTCTTTGCTTTCCTAAGGCCTTAGGCTGAGATGAAACGTCTATTTCCCCCCTAAATTTTGTTTTTCGCTTTACATATTACTGAATTTGCTGTTGTCCACAGGGATCAGATTCTAAATCAAATGTAGAAAGCTTTTCAAAACTTTTACGTCTTCTTTGCTGGAGCCCAGCTCATATATTGACATCCAATGCCATGGAGACTGGTGTATTTATTTGGACATGGTTGGTTTCAGCTGCTCCTCAATTGTGTTCTCTAGTACTTGCTGAGCTTGTTGATGCATGGTTGTCGACAGTCGACACAAAGCGAGGTCTTTTTACATCTGAAGTTAGGTGTTGTGGACCTGCTGCTAAGTTAAGGCCTCACCTGGGACCTGGGGAGCCAGAAGCACCGCCTGAAAAGGATCCCGTTGAACAAATAATGGCCCATAGACTATGGCTTGGGTTCTTTATTGATCGTTTTGAGGTGATTATCAGTGTTCAATGCTTTCAACTTCCTTAGCTGTTCCCTATGAATAAATGCAGTGATCAAGCACATACTGCTCTATTGTCCACCCTAAGTGGTTATGTTAGAGGTGATGTAACATTACACTTAACCCATCACTTATTTGAAAATTAATTGGATAATTGTATAATTATGATGTTTTGCTTCCTTTATCAAGTACTTCAGTAGTTGTCTTTTGAGTTTCGAGTTAAAATATATGGGATTTTCCACGGTGATACCAATTTTACGATTTTGTGTCTTTAGCTTTTCTCTTATTTTATCTATTTAGCTATGGTATAACTTTTACCAAGTATCCTCTTGCACTTGCAAGAGCAGCTCTCAGTTCGCTTTCTCACCAATTTCTTACACTTATGCTGTTTCTATGTAGATTACTACGATCTAGATGAGTATTTGGTTTGTTGAATGTTTTTTCTGTTTGACTTGGTTGGAATGTGGTTGTACTGCAGTAGAACTACTATAATCCTTGCTAACCTTGATCACAGCTGAGATGATGACGTTTTCTACTCTTTCGAGCTTTTCAGTTTTTGCTCGACCTCTTGAGACTCTCCTTTTTCCAGGGGGTCAATAGTTGTCTAAGAAAACATGGTTTAAACGATTCATTAACAAAGACAAATAATAAACCATTTTGGGAAAAACACCGTCTTTAAGTAAGCTTGATAATGTTGCTAGAAGTTTTCAATTGATGTCTTACCTGAATCATTGTTTCAGACTTTTGATTGTCTTAACTGTATATAAAATAGTAAATTGAAGTTTTTTTTCCTTTTGAAAAACTTGTCCTTGCAGGTCGTTCAACATGGTAGTGTTTCACAGCTTTTACTTTTAGGGCGGTTGTTGCAAGGAACTATCACACTACCTTGGAATTTTTCTTCCCACCCAGCTGCTACTGGCACATTTTTCACCCTCATGCTTCTTGGATTGAAGTTTTGCTCATGCAAGTTACAGGGTAGTTTGCAAAACGTCATGGCTGGGTTTCAGCTTCTAGAAGACAGAATATATCGGTAAAGACGAGACTTGTATTTAATTGGACCAGTATTAATAGAGGCAGGGGAATGAGTAGTGGAAGGTCCTTGCTCATTGCCTCTTGGCCCCAATATCTTTCTAGTAGATATTGAGTTGCGCACAAACATTTCTCTATTTGTTTATGGAAGTTTACATCAGGCTTGGGAATTTTTGGACTATGTCGATCTGATGATTCATTTAAACATTTGGAACATCATTTTCAGGGCTTCATTGGGGTGGTTTGCTCACCAACCTGAGTGGTATGACATGAATAAGAGCTTTGCGCTGAGTGAAATGCAGTCTGTATCTATGTTTGTCCATCATCTTTTGAATGAGCAGTTAGATACTTCCCAACTCGATTTCAAAGGGCGGGCACTAGAAAATGGAAGCTCTTTGAATGATGTGGTGAGATAATCATAAACAAGTTGATGAAGACCATGCTTCTTACATCATTGAGCAACTTGTACCAAAAATATCCTTAGTTTTTGTCATAAGAACAGTTTCTTTCCTTCAACTGCAATCAAATTTTTATGGTCCTTGTGCTCTTTTTTTAACTTAATGATGCTCGCAGAAAGATCAACACCATCCTGTTTGGGGCCAAATGGAGTGCTATGCTGTTGGGAGGGAGAAGCGGAAGCAGTTGCTTCTGATGTTATGCCAGCATGAAGCTGACAGGCTTGATGTCTGGGCACAACCTACTGCCAAGTAATACACAATGATTGCTGATTGTGTTTGTCCCTGTATTAACTTCCTCTTCTATTGTGGGTTGTCATTATTGTTATTAATTCTTCCAATATCAGGGAAAGCACTTCACGTCTTAAAATCAGCTCTGAGAAATGGGTCGATTTTGCTCGAACTGCCTTTTCTGTAGATCCCCGTATAGCTTTTTGTCTTGCTGCAAGGTTTCCTACAAATAATCATCTGAAGGCTGAAGTAACACAATTGGTGCAGGTATGTTTCTCCCTCCCAGTTTTCTTATCCTCCAGTTTTTTAATCAAACCCTGAAGTACCTGAATGATAGATATCTCGAGAGAACATGGAATACTTGAAACAGAAATGGGATAAGTTGACTTTAGGATGATGCAGGTCACTTTATTTGCTTATTTTCTTGCAAAAGCATCTAAAAAGAAGGGTATTTGTGCATCATATTATAACCAGTTTCTCAAGTAGGTAACAAAACTTTCTAACCAGCAATAGAAAGATGTCCTTTATGATTTATTCTATATTAATATCTTTCCGTTTGAGTGAGGGTTGACACTTTAAATGGAAGAAAGTTGCTTTTGGTATGGAACACTACCCAATTAGATGTTAAGGCATCTTTTTGGCCAAAAAGGTGGGGAAAGTTGCATCCCATAGAATATGCTTGCAACTTGTCTGTTCCATCCCTAGTGTGCCTTGATATCTTTGGTAATGGAAAATAAAGATTGGGAAAGAAATTGAATTCAGAGGCTAAGAGCTAGTTTCTTTTGCTTAAGTTTTGGGTTTGTCTAAATGTGTTATTTAGGGCTTATTCTTATAATAAAATATACTCCCTCCATCCAAATTTATGTGATGGTGTTCGACTGAGTATGGAGTTTAAAAAAGAGACTTTTGAAACTTGTGGTCTAAAACATGCTATAATTTCTGCGGCTTAAAAATCATGTCATTAAGGGTGGAAGAAGTTTTAAGTTATAATATTTCTAAATATTGAAATTTTTCATTCTTTTTTGGAATAGACTACAGTGTTGTTAAAGGCTTGCTTAAAGCGCGCTTAAGCCCTAGAAGCTCGGTGAAGCCCAATGGGTTCTCTGTAAGGGCACAACATTGTATATATAGCTTAATTATAGTTTTTCCACTTTTTTGTTTAATTTTTTTTATGTTTATATTTTTTGCATTACATTTCTATTTTTAAATTTTTCTTCATCGGCGCTTTTCAACACTAAAGCCCAGAATTAATTGCACTTTATCCTTAAAGCTCCAGAAGAATTTGGAGCTTTTCGACTACTCTGTGGCAAAAAAAGAAAAGTGTGTCACATGAAATGGGACAAAGGGAGTATTTTCCTATAAAAAAAAAGTTGGGTAGAATTCAGCTACTAATATAGACAGTATCCATGGTTTTAAAAACATTAATTCCTTGAATGACAGAAGTGGTGATTTTGACAGCATAAATCACTGTATTTCTAGATCTTTTTCTTGTACAGTATAAAACCAATCAATTGTCCTTAAGTTCACTTAATCCATTCAAAATTTTCTCATATTCTTGAAAATGATGTCGTGTTGTGCTTTCAGAATCAATCCTTTCAGATGTCACTTTCATTTTATTATTGATCCATTGTGAGTATTTAAGTTTGAAACTTTAAAATTTGGCCTTGTCCGAATACACTCTTTGGCAGATTTTGAATTAAAAAACTGGTTATTTCCAACAGTATGCTTGGGTTGACTAGAGGTTTCCTCAAATTTGTCCGAATGGCTTTAGTTGTCATCAATTGCCTTAGCATCTATTTTGCCTAGGTAGTTCAGGCATGGAATTTTATGGAAAACATATTTGTTTTGGGTGGTCTCACTAAATGTTTGCTCATTGCCATGATTATTTCTTTTACTGCAATGGGTTAATTACTTTAAATTGTCAAAGTCAGAGTCAAACCTCTTAGATTGTGATCGAACTTGTTTGAACATACTAGATCGTATTGCTTTAATAAATTTCAATTGTCATCTTATTTGTCAATATGATATACCCAATACTAAAATCTCTATTAAATTAAAGGTACTTATATAGTCATTGAATAATTTTTTTGTTCTATATTTTTCTTTATTCTATTATCCAATGTTTAGTATTTTTACATTGTTAATA